ATCAAGCTACTATGAAAAACGAAAAGGCCCGATTTGTTAATAAAAGCAGTAAAATTGGCCATTATAGAAATTTAAAACTATGTACACAATAGTATTTAAAAGTTAAGTGCCAAAATTTTGGAGGAAAGAGAATGAATAAACAAGAATTATCTGTACATTTTTACATTAGATTCTCTGAATTAGTCATCCATCTTAAACCGTCCGTGGCTTTAGGCATAAAATATCATTATCTAATTCAAAAATCTAAAAATAGGTAAGGCTAATGCCAGCTTTTGTAAGGGTATTCTTAATTATTTTATGAGGAATTAGGTTACTTTTTAAAATAGTTACGAAGTATAGTATTTCTTCTTGTAAGTGTTTCGCAGTATTGCATATTCTTTTTATCCTAAGTAGCTGTGAATAAATTGTGTTGAGTATGACTCTTTTGGAAATATTTGAATTCCAGTTAGTTAATTTAAGTGTGGAAAAATTAAATTCTCTTCTTTGTGTCGTAAACTTTAATAAAATTGTAATCTATAATATGTAAATCAAGGTAGACTACATTATGCTGTTCTGTATTTGTTTTATTTAGTTTTAAGCATGCAGGGTAGATATTAGCTATTTCTATTTTGTTGTAGTTATTAAATGCAATGACATCATCAATATATCTATAGATGTGTTGGTAAAAGATACGTTCTTCTGTACTGAGTGAACGGACATAGGTCAATTCTTTAGTAAACAGGAATAATTCACAGACAGAGGTTGAAAAATTACCGCCCATAGGGATACCCTGTACTTGTTTATAGATGTTATTGTCAAATTGAATAAAATTATTGAAGAGCACGCTGGTAAGGAATAGTTGCCATTTTTCGTTGCTGAGAATGGTAGAAATTTGCGGAAATAAATCTGGAAGAGCAAGTAAACTTGTAAAAATTTCTTCGAGCGGTAGAGATGTATAGAGGTTTTCAAAGTCGTAGCATTGGATATGGTCTATTTTAAGTGAATTCATAGTTTTAAGAACTAGTTCGTTACTAGAGATCATCCAGTTGCAATGCAAACCCTCAAAATCATAGTTATTGATTAGGTCACGTATCATACGAAATTTTTGTGCAAAGAGATAATCTATTTCTTTGAGATAACTTTTGGTACTATTCGCTATGAACCTGAATTTAATTGGAGACTTATGAAATTTAGGTAAGGCATAGAGATTGGCAAACCTGTTGTTATATTTCTGGGGTTGTATTTTTAGTCTTTTATGGAGTGCTTTAAATTTATTGAGAAGAATCTGAGCACTGGTAGTGATTTTTTGGTAAGTGCAGGTGTTATTTAACTCTTTATGCAGAAGGTTGTAGTAGAATTGTTGTCAAATAATACTAAAATTGTTGCTTGCTTTGTCAATCTTCGTGATGATAAAGTGATTTTGCAATTTTTGAATTAGATCCTCCAGGCGTTTTTTATTGTGTAAAGAGTTGAAACAAGGTGCCTTGAACAGCAAACGTTGAAATTCTTTAATAAGTGCAGCTTTCCATTCAAGAAAAGTTGTAGTGGGTAAATTGGATCTATTACTAGCTAAAAATATAAATTTATCAAGATCATTATTGAATTGTTTGAGGCAGACGTGTCTATTAATACCGAAAGTAGGACGAAATTTGGTGCCAAGTTGCAAAAGGTTACGTAATTCAACATCTTCAACAATATTAAGATCTCCTGTAATAATATGTTGGTGGAAAGGATCGACATATTTTTTGTAGGCAGTCAATTGGCAGTTACATTTGCTATTATCTTGTATAACGTGGTGGTTGATAACTAGTTGCCCTAAGGTTTTTTCAAATTTAAAACAGGGTTTAATTTGGAGTGGTTGGTCAGGAAGCAAGTGCTGAAATTTTTTAAAAATGCTAGGTATTTTTAACTTATCGTAAGAAGGGTGTTTGAACTGAATAGTACAAAAAAGTTTTTATCGTATAACCTGTGAGGTTGAAAATATTCCACAGGACTTTCACTTTTAGCAGGTAATGGTAAGCTTTAGAAAAAGACTCCAACAACATGTGCAATATAAAGCAGGTCATTTGAAAAACATTAATTTCAAGTAAAATCAAGTATGCATAGATACATAGATAGATTCTCACTACTTTCTATTTTAGTAGCATACATTAAAAATTTGTTAACAAAATGTGTGGTCTTTTTATTTCTACTTAAAAACATTTTGGTATTTTTTCCCCATATTTTACATTCATGTATGAATTGCATTATGGTAACATACTTAATGGAAAGTATTTAACCAATATTTGAGGCACAATACTTAATGGAAAACAATTTAACCACTTCGCATCTAGCAACTCTGTCAGACAGTTTTATCTCTTGGAAAAAAATTGATTAATAAATCTTGAACTCTTTTGAGTTTCTCAAACTACAATTACCTTTCATCAACAATTTATATTTTGTGTACAATTTATCAAATAATGCCTACTATCACTTTGGAGGCTAAACCTGAACTCGTCCGTAGAGAGAACCACCCTCCATCGATCAGCTGCCCCGTGGACATGTTACTACGCCCACCTCAAACACTCCCTTCTATGATGTGATGTCAGCAGCATGCAAATAGCTGGTCACCTAGCGTACAGACCTCCTTCACAAGCTTTCTATGCACAGTTGATGTTAACACTAACCTTCCAGTGGCTGCAGCAAGGGAGGATCTGAGTTGAGTCAAAGTCGAGGTTCTATTCCTTCATGCACATAACAACAAACGCCGGTCACAGTACTCTTAGTAGTGGTTGGCTATTCTTGGCTGAACCCCTTGGATGACGAATCTGTAGTTGGAAACTGTTGCCAATATCTATGAACCACAGAAGGACTCACATTTAGCCATGTGGCCACTTTTGTCTGACTTTATCCTGCCTCTAGTCTCCCGATAGCTTTCCATCACAGTTCTTTGGGCAAATGATGCCTGCAGGTCATTGTTTCAAATTGGCTATCCCAAATTTCTCATATCAGTATCACAGCAAAATTTGCAGGCTTGCTCTGAAACATACAATTTTATGCTCCTCACAGATGATGTATTTCGAATACAGCGCTATTAATCTGCGTGTTGCAGTTTTATTCAACAATTCTTATTTTATACGAAATGGCTTATTTTTGAACAAGTTATCACTAATTTTGTGATTTTTCCTTAATTTTTAGAAACCACTGTATGTCAATTTTTATGTGCTGAGGTACATGAACACATTTCACCATCTCTATTTTACAGAAAATCATTAAAATCCTTTCATATCAGGGTAGTGTAAATAAAAAATAAATACTATAAATGTTCCCCCTTTTCCTACTCATTTTACTGCTTGAAAAACCAGGAAGAAAAATATGCAGCATATATTATTTCTGAAGAGACAGCTTAATTGATAAATATAGCACATTAGAAAGTACATGTAAAGACCGATTTCTGAGGATAGTACATATAAAAAGTACATACACTAATATTATTATATAATGTATTTCAAAGAACTTATCAATTTAAATAATATTCTTTTGTACTCACACAAAATATATTCTTAAATAAAAAAAATTTTGAAGTCATTTGTTGAAAAAACTAGAAGGAAAAATATGTGAGGAGGAGAAATATGCAAGTAAATGAAGTATGTTCACATAATTGCCTGCATCTTTGAAAAGAATTATTATAAAATAATGAATTAGACCTTGCTTTATTTGATATGAAATGCACTTTTAAATAGCTCCCAAATCAAAGTACACAGTATAGTGTTGTACAGTCATTGGGATTTTTTGAAGCAAGGAAGGTGAAAAATGAGCAATGCCCTTGCAAGGACTTGAACCCTAGACCTCTCAAATACATGCCAAGTGTGCTAACTGTTACACTCCAAAGGAATGCAGAAAGGAGGGAGAAAATACCTTACATACTCCCCTTTTTAAAGAGCAACTGGAGATTAGGGGACCCAATCACCAAACCCTGGTGGTGAAGAATCATCATCCATCACCTTTTAGTTCAGGTACAACTGTAGAGTCATTAGGATTTTTTGAAGCAAGGAAGGTGAGAAATGAGCAATACCTCGCCGAAACAAAAACCAGAACCTCTCATATATGTGCTGAGTGTGCTAACTGTTACACCATGAAGGCATGCAGAAAGGAGGGAGAAAATACCTCATAGTGTACTCAATATATAGGATTTGTTCATGAAATTTCCCAACAAAAATCCCTTCTCAAAATTTTAGCCCCCATTTCTATGAAACTGATGAAAACATAGATTTCAAACTACCTTTAAATATTACTCTATTTTGTCACTTTCATATTTTGGAAAGCTTCATACACATTGAATTCCTTTAATAATCATCCATGCATGTAATGCATCCAAAGGCGGAATAAAAATTTGAAAGCTATTGCACATGGAAACATTTTTTATTTGGTATAAAAATACATGAATACACATATAAAAATCACAGTACTCTTCCCGATAATAAAAGGAAAGGACTTTCAGATACAAGTAAAAACAAAAAAATGCACTAAACACATGTTCTCTTTCTTGCCAACATTTTGCACATACCCTCGCAGTCAGTGGTAGAGAAAATTTCTCATACAAAGAGTTTACTTTGGTTATATAGCATAGGAAATTCAAATTAAGTTTTAAATAGAATAAGTATGAAGAAGGCCTTTAAAGAATTGAAAAATATCTAAATGCATTTTCTTTAATTATACTATTGTATAAAATTTGAATTCATTGACATATAACTTTTTGTCCTATGCTAAATTTACTATCAAATCATTAACTATTGAAAAGCAAAATGTTATAGCAAATAAATGATTTGCCTTCTTGTTTTACATAATGAAATCTGTACTCAATAATTAAAGTGGCAAGCATAAAGTGAACAACTGTTTGAATTTCTAATGCAATTTAATAAAACAAAACTGAAAATAATACATAAAAATGCAATTTAATAAAACAAAACTAAGCTGAAAATAATAGATTAAAGTAACTCAGAACTATACTTAAAAATAAAGTAAAAACTAAAGCAGCATACCATATCCAGCAAAACAAAATCATTGCAGTCTACATCGCTGCATGACAAGTTTTCATACGTTTTTTCACTTGGATTCCATTCATTAGTGGGAATACACCATGAGTCATTTGATGTATTTAGACTGTCTTCTTTAACATCTCTATTTGCTTCTGAATTACTTTCAGAGTTATTTAGGTTACCCCTAGATGAGTTCAGAAATGATTTTTCAAGGGAAGCAAGTTCTGGGAATGTGACATCAGGCAGACTACTACATGGAGCAAAGGCCCCAACATATGGAAAAGAATTTTGTTCAAAATGCCTGAAATGGAAAAGTAAGAAATCAGAATTAATTTAGTTAGTGATTTGCTTATATCATGATACTAAAGGATTCAGTCTGAATTCATACTTCTTATAAAATGAAATGCAAACAATCAAATTGATTAAAGATTAAATTTTTATATATTCAGCTTTAAATGCATAAATTACAAAAAGAAAAAAAAAATTACAAACCACTTATATTTAAATATGTAACAAATTATCAATTTTTTCTTTTTTTATTGAACAAATATAAAACTAGGTATATAAATAATCTAAGGTGTTTTAATCTTTCAATTAGCAGAGAGAAAAAATACCAAATATTCCACATCCTTAATTCAAACACATCTAGCTGCCTTAGCATCTATACATAAGATCTTATGATTTACATTGCCATAAGGCAAAAGAAGAAATTTTACAAACAAAATACATCAACAAAATTTATACAAAACAGATGAAACATTTTTTAAAAAAGCAATTTCTTAACTTCCAAAGTTATGGACAAAAGTATAAATAAACTGTATAATAAATTTAATAATTTCTGCACAGCCTTATCATTATGGTCTCTAATTCTATTCTGCACAGCTATCATTACAGTCTCTAATTCTATTTATACATAGAATAATTTCAGCACAGCTATCATTATATATATTTATACATTGAATAATTTCTGCACAGCTATCATTATATATATTTATAAAGCACATGACAGTTAATACGAGGGCTATTTTTTTTTCAACCTCCGATGGGCTATAAAGAAAAGACGGGTGAATATACAAAAAAGATTTTATTACCGAAAATAATGTACAATACAGGTTATTTCTCCACATAATCACCTTGACGATTCAAATATTTGTCATACCTGTGAACAAGCTTTGCAATACCCTCTTCATAAAATGTCCCCACCAATGATTGGAAGTGAGTTGTGACGGTTTCTTTCAACTCCCCGTCATTTTGGAAGCGCTTCCCGCCAAGCCACTGCTTCAGTTCAGGGAACAGATGAAAGTCACTCGGCGCTGGGTCGAGACTATATGGTGGATGTTCGAAAATGTCCCATTGAAATTGCTGAAGGAATCATAGGGTTACACAAGTGCTGTGAGGAAGGGCATTGTCGTGGATCAGAACAATTCCAGAAGTCAGCATGCCTCTTTGTTTGTTTTGAACAGCTCTGCGTAAGCGTCGCAAAGTTTCACAATATGAATCTGCATTAATTGTTGTTCCAGGCTGCATAAACTCCACAAGCAACACACCTTTTTGGTCCCAAAAAACTGTTGCCATAACCTTACGGTTGTCAAAGGTTCATTTGAATTTTGTGGGTCTCTTTGGAGAATTTGTGTGCATCCATAGCAGTGATTGTCAGTTTGTTTCAGGCGTGTCATATTGAACCCATGTCTCATCACCTGTCACAATGGATTTCAAAAACTCTTCTCCGTCAGTATTGTAACGGTCAAGAAACTCAAATGCTGCAACCATTCGGCGAGTTTTGTGGTCGTCAGTCAACATCTCGGGGACCCAGCGAGCACAAACTTTTCTGTAGCGCAACTGTTCAGTAATGATAGAGTACAGGGAAGATCTTGAAACTTCCGAAAATTTCATCGATAATTCACGTATGGTTCGGTTTTGCTTAACCGCTTGGTCAACTCGTTGAACAATGTCATCTGTAGCGACAGACTTGCGTCCTTGACCCCGTTCATCATGCACTTCGGCCATCTTTAAACTTTCAACACCATTCACGAACAACGCCATCCCTCATAAAGCTGTTTCCATACACTCGACTCATTCTTCGATGAATTTCCGCTGCACTGTTCCCTTCTGCCTGCAAGAAACAAATAACAGCTCTCAATTCACACTTGGCAGGAGAATCAATAGCGACAGCCATGTTTACGTGACTGCAACTCAACAGACAATGGCATGTTGAATACGCCAGTGGCAGGGCGTGTGGAGGGGGAGATGCACAGTCGCCTACTAAGCACACCAACCACCTGCCGCATACCTGGCCATCCTACTGTGCGATCGGAGGTTGAAAAAAAAAAACAACCTACGTAAAATCACTTCTATTTCAAACATATTTGAGTTTATTAAGCTAATTTAATGAACAACGATTTCAATATTGTAAAATTATGTATCTACTTTGAACTTATTTAGCAGTACAATAACTAACAATTAATATCATAATTTATACCTAAATTGTTAAGAATTAATGCTAAAATTAAGCTATTTGCAAAATTTATAATTTTCTATTTACTTTCTATAAATGTATACCTAAAAAAAATTTAACTTTCATAAAGAACTGATATATCCATATTTGTTTTCTATAGTTTCATAACAGTCTTTCAACTGTATTTTCAAATTCATGAAACTGTTGATAGCTTTTCTGATCTCCACCTTTCAATTCAAGATTTCTTAAGTTTGCAGTGTTTTTCTTGCTTCAGCTGAGGTTGGCATGTAGTCACTTTCTTCCATATCACTGTCAGTTACAGTTCTTGCAGCTCTTTTAACGCCTTATAGAATATTATCATCAATGTTTTTACATGCTAACTCAATACTATCATTAATTGCAATGTATTTCTATAAACAAATCTTCAAAACTTCTCTCACTTATGTCTGGAATATTAGCAATAGTTTTCAGTTCCTCTGTGGCTTCTTCTAAATAAAAACCACTTTTTCTACAGTAATTTCTAACTGTGTTTTGGGAGACTGCTTCCCATGCATTGACTATAACATGCATAGCCTTCAGCAAAGATATCGACTTAGTTATCTCCTTTAAAGTGATTGCATGACAACTTTGTTTTGAATTACACCTTTTCTGTAAAAACATTTGAAAGCTTTTATAATACCTTGGTCTAAAATCTGAATGACAGAAGCCATATTTTCAGGAAGAAACACTATTTTAATATTTTAAGAACAATAGCAGAGGGGTTTGTAGCACAATTATCTAACAATAAAGCTATTTTTTCATTTTTCAGTCCATGTACCATTTCAAAAGTAAGTCAAAGGTAAATTAAGTTCTTTTAAACATCAAAAGTTTTTTACTTTTCCATTACCCAATGGAATCTTCTTAACTGTAACATCCATATTGCCCATTAATAACACAGTAACGTATTCTTTTAATTTCTTAAATCCATCTGTTGTTTCACTTTTAAACATTAATGTGTACTCCAGTAATGTTCTGCAAAACAGACCAGATTCGTCTGTTTTATAAATTTCATATAGCTTGTATTCTTTTAAAAGCTTGAGTAAAATGTCTTTTATCCAGCTCACAGATGAATGATGATCTGCTCTTTTCTTCTCACTATGCAATTTCCAACAAATTACACAGTGATAATAACTATTTCTCTCTTTCATTTAGTGAGCCATCCATCATAGCTTAGTTAGTCTCCTAGAATAGTCACATTCATCACAGTCTCCTATTATTTAGACGAATTTCACAGCTTCTGTGATCAAAACAACTCTATACATGGAATATTTTTAGTCTCATAGCTTTTAGAGTGGTTTCAATGTCTCTCGATTTTCCATCTCTTTTGCATTTGAGATATTTGCATTTTTTACTAGTTCTTTATCAATTTTATTTCCCTGTTTAAATAAATTGCACAATGCTGCTTGGGAAAATATTATTTTAAATGCTGCTTCTTTCTGGCAACACTTAGCAAATGTATCACAATCTTTCAACAATTTATCTTTTTCTTTCAAGCTTAACCCACTTCATTTAGGTATTTTAAATATCTTATAAGTCATGCACAAAGCAAGTAGAAAATGCTTCTTCCAGTGATTTTTTAAAATCCAAAACTCTCATTTCTGGCCAGCAGGAAGATTACACTTTGTCTGCCACATAGATCTGTCAGTTCATAGTTATTCATGGCATCATCATTGCTTTATTTTCTTTTTTCTTATACTTACAATGATCACTGCCCTTTTCCAATGAAACACTGATAAAGTATAATAATGCAAGGAAGCACCTCATGATGTTTTCTGAGAATGCCTTGCAAATTTAATGTGTATGTGTACTTCCAACCTTTATCAGCTAGTGTTCTAGAAAGGGAACCAGTGTTCATTTTAGGATCATCTTTTCTTTAATCCTGTAAGCAATGAGTCATTTAAATTAAAGAACTTGTTTCCGATCCCTCCATAGGACTGCTTTTGTTAATCATAATGGCCTTTTTTTGCTCTCAGCTCTAATCTGGGCAAACAGCATCTGACAGTGATTAGGAAAAGGTACCTAACACCTCCAGGGAGTCTTGGTTTACACTAGCCAAAATTTCTGCTAAACCCATTTTATTTATTATTTATTATTATTATTATTTTAAGCATTACATAACTGAAAATAAACTAATGAACTACAGATAGCTTTTATTAGCCACAAATAGTTTATTCTAAATCTGAAGGATCAATCTCTTACTAGTTTGAGTTTTATAAGCAGCAGAGATGAGTTTAATTAACAGTGGTTTTCCTATTGGTTAATAATATATTTACTTCGAGTTCTGGAAATTTGAATGTAATAAGCAGCTGGATTAATTAACTAGCAAGTTTAATAAGTGGCAGGTACTGTATATGATGATCTGAAAAATGATGAAGCATAAAAGAAGAAACTTACAGACATGATTAAATTTAATATTGTATCTTTATAGCTAACACACATTTTTATCCCAACATAAATAGATGGACACAATAGCACCTGTTTTTTGAAGAACTAAATCAGTACCGTTACATTTTAAAAGTAAAAGTTTGAAGACAGCATGCAGCAGCAAGTTGAAAGAAGCAAATGTGTGGTATTTCAAGATGGAGGCTCAGTTCAAAAAGCTTTGGGTTTTGGTTTACTATCTTAGTTTCACTTTGGAAATCATCTGTGCAACCAGCATTACGTAAAGGATGGGAAAAGGGAATATACAAACTAAAATTTAAGAATTAAAGGACTAGTAAACCAAAGTTACTATTTTTATTTATATATTTTATATATATATATCTTCAAATATCAGATTTCAAAATTATCATTGCTGTTTATCCAAACTACGACAGTTCTAACTGACATGAAGTATTATAAATATCTTTAAGTTTTTAAGATAGAAGTCCAAGGGATATCAAAATCAAGAATTTTAATAGGTTGTAAGCTTAAATCCCACATGAGAATCAAATACATTAACAATGAACAAAAAAGTAAACTTAAAAATGTATAATGTTATAGAAAAAAGGCCATGATTTAAACAAAATACATGTGGCAGATTTACACAGAAAAAAATGTCAGGATATTTTATAAAAATCATAGCAGCTAATCTTCCAAAATCAAAAGTTGGAAAACATTTCTCAGAAATCAGGAAAATTATTTCAGCAACCTAAAATGGCTTTCAAACTATAAAAAATATACAGACAGAAAGGTGATTTTTTTTAAAATAATGAACTAACTCAAAAGAGTATCAATTTAATAGCTGAAAGTACAACTTCAGCAACTTCTAAACTGCACCTATTAAAAAAATTATTTATATGGGAAAAAATACCATTTATAATTCTTTATAGAAAAATAATACAATAATGCCTTGCATAATGAGTATAATCTGTTCTGAAACGACATTCATTCTCTGAGTTATTCACAGTGTGAGATGCTGTTACCCATAATTTACTACAGGAATGATTTTAATCTATACCCGAGTTCAATCCAAAATGACAAAACATGAAAAATTTTAGGGAATATTAAACAACATTGGAAATGCGAGAAGTTTATTCAGCTTCCTTACATTTTCACCATACCTGTTTTTTGGTTTTCCAGAATGCCCAAATCATAAGAATTTCCCTAAAGTGATTTAGAAGTTGTCTAAAATGGTTTCCATCTTTCTTAGGATAGTTCTGAAATAATACACAGCATTGTCATTGAACAGATCAGCCATTCTCTTCATTTTAGGTTGTTGGGATATCACTATCTGGCTGTGACTTGAATCTCTTTTCATTTTTAATTAAACAAATTTCTGCATTAAGAAATAAAGCATTAATCTAATTTTTACTTTAGAAGTTTTTTAAGTTCTTTTTTTCTCAAGTTTCTTCTTTCCTTTTTTTCTTGCAATGGGCATGGACCTTTTTCTTTTTTCCTCCTCACCAGACAAAACTTCCCTCAGAGCTTCTTCATGTTCCTACCTAAGTTAAGAAAGGCCTGCAGTTTTTCAGTTCTAATATAATGTTAAGAAATATGTTTATTTGTTTGTTTCTCTTTTCATTATCTCTGTCCATACAAAGAAAAGTTTTTGCGATCGCTTACCATTCTAACAGAAACCGTTGTTCTTTCAAATGGGCAGATACTTGCAACTTAATGCAATCATCAAGAATGCAATATGCGTTAGTCACTTAGTCATCTCATTACTGAGAATGCTGCAAAAGGGATGACTGATTTTATACATGCAAGAAGTTTCTTCCCAACTTTGACGGAGAATATCTCCCCGGAGGAAGCATTCTAAGATATCCCACCCCTCTTTGCCTATCACAACCTCTCAAGACAACTTTCAGCAGGCCAGTATTTTAAGTGCCCGTATGCTGCACAGATACACTTACAAACACCCAAATCTTCTCTGGGATTCGAACTCAGGCTCATCTATACAGATCACAGCAGTTTGAAACAAAAAATAAGCTTCATGCTCAATGTGTGAAATTTTTGTGTATGGGCCCAAGTTCATTACACGTCACATTTTTTACAAGTGTGCATATTGTTATAAGGAATGTTCAATATGTAAGGCATAACTGTACTTTAATCAATTTGCTAATGTATTAATTAATTGGTAACAACACTACTGTTCATCAGAAATTTTCAAACTGTGTCAGTCTATTTTACCTCTTTGTTTACTGACATAAATAACCTAAAAAATACAGTGGATGGACAAAAATATAGAAACACCTTGTGAAATGCATGTTCGAAAAGAAAGATTGATTTTAATGAAATATGTAGGTGGCACTGCCGTTTTTGACTACTGACGCCACCTATACAACTTCGTAAATGTGCTAAACAGTTCAGTTGTTGTCGGAGTACTGTTATGTGAGGTTGTCATTGCATTATGTCAGAGTTAACAGACTTCGAACGTGGGCAAATTGTTGGAGCACGTATGGTAGGTGCTTCCGTAAGCAAGATAGCCGAAGTGTTTAGTGTTTCAAGAGGTACTGTATCGAAGATATCTACTAAATCACAGCGTGGACGAAAGTGTGTCCCGAGTGATCGTGACAGACGATCATTAAGGGCAATTGTGACGAAAAATAAGAAGACCACAGCTGCAAAAGTTACTGCTGAAATGAATGTTGTGTTACCGAACCCTGTGAGTACCAAAACAATTAGAAGGGAGCTTCATTAAACAGGGAATTGCTGGCCATGCTGCAATTGAGAAGCCACTCATCAGTGATGATAATGCCCGTAACAGGAAAAGGTGGTGTTTAAGTCATAAAGCCTGGACTATAGAGCAGTGGAAGCGAGTAATATGGTCTGACGAGTCTTCTTTCACATTGTTTCCCACTTCTGGCCGAGTTTACGTCTGGAGAACGCCATCTCAAGCCTATAATACAGACTGCTTGTTGCCAAGAGTGAAACATGGCGGGGGTTCTGTTATGGTTTGGGCAGCCATATCGTGGTTCTCTGCTAGCCACATGATAACTGTGTCAGGGTACATGACTGCCAAGACTTACGTGAACATTTTGGCCGATCAAGTTCATCCCATGGTACAAACTTTGTTCCCCGATGGTGATGGTGTCTTCCAAGACGACAAAGCCCCTGTTCACACAGCTCACATTGTCCAGGACTGGTTTTCTGAGCACGAGGATGAGTTGTCCCATCTCCCCTGGCCACCAGTCACCAGACCTGAATATTATCGAACCTTTGTGGTCTACATTGGAAGGAAAAGTGCGTTCTCGTTATCTGAACTTGCCACCGTTTTGCAGGAAGAATGGTATAATATTCCCTTGGCAAACATACAGGAACTGTATTTATCCATTCCGAGAAGACTGCAAGCTGTTTTGGATGCCAATGGGTTTCCTACACCATATTAAGCAAAGAAACATGTTTTTTTAAAGGTGTTTCCATATTTTTGTCCAACCCCTGTATATACTTCTGATGCTTAGAAACATTTTACTGCCATGCTATTATATAAAAAAGGATCCAAGAGAATTTTTTATTTTTAAATGTTATCCAAAACATAAAACCAATTTAATAATTAATCTAATACTTAACCACAAGAAATTCTGGTATTTAGATACAGTGGTACCTTGGTATATGTCATTAATACATTCCAGATTCTTAGACATATATCAAATGAGCTTTTCCAATGAGATACAAAGGGAAAATAATTAAATCTTTTCTAATAAAAAATTATTTTGTTATTATAATAGCACTGTTTAATACTAAAACACAAAAGCAGTGCATGAAATTTATACTGTACATAAATGAAGCATTGCACATGATCCTGTAAATAAATGTTTTTAGCTATCCATATCAAAAGTGAATTTTTAGCAAGCTTTAACCTGTCCAATTTTTGTTTGTTAATGGATTTTAACCTCTTTGAAACAAAGGCTGATTAAACAGTGTCTTTGTTTTTTTTTTTTTTTACAATCATACTCTGTATGCAGTATGCAACAGTCAAGTTCTGGATTTACTCCCTAATTTTCAACAATTCCTTTTCTCATCTCCATGGTTATCCTAAAAATTTTCTTCATTGCTTAACTTTTCTCATTAACTTTCTTAAAACACATCATTAAAGAATTTTAAAATATTTTATGTGAAAAAACACACAAATCACTTGAAAATTCAGATTATAGCATGGCTTACTTTCTTAATAGTATCAACAGGCATACTAGCCCTTATGGGCAGCTGTAGCATTGCCTCAAAAGAGGTAAACAAATTTAGTCTGTGCAGTTGTGACTCATCAAACCGTATTCCATCAAAAATGTTGAATACCAAACAAAAATTTTCACATCAAACAGGATGTATGCTGAGGTACTACTGCATTATTCAGACTTTATAAAAGATTTTAGTTATGAATTTGATGTTTCACAATTTAATCAGTTACCTGAGGTAACTTCAATTATATGTGAATTAAGAGCACTACAGTCAAAAGTCGTTAATTCGGACACCCATAATCCGGACCTCAAAGCTGAAAACTTTCTGCGCATGCGCCGCGTTGGTACATGCGCACAGGCGATATACGCGTGCGCGTAAGACCTTGACTACTCACATATGTGTGTGCGCAACTGCAGAATACGTTTTCGCCTGCGCGTCTAATGTATAACGGACGGTGTAAGCTAAAATTATCTAATTATCTATTTCAGTTAATGTTAATGATTGCATTGTTCCTTAATCTTCGAATTGGATCCCGTTTATTATTTTTTGCAGACTGTAAGAGCAATTTTATAAAAGTAAACTTGAACTTTCGATTATGTCAAATAGAATTTCCAATGCTGGAACTTCCAAAGGATCTACAAAACGAAAGTATGTTTCGATGTCCAACAAACAAAAAGTGGAATTGCTGCAAAAAATGGATAAAGACATGAAGAATGTGACAGAGAGGTTAGTGAAAACGAAAAAATTTCGATTGACAAGTTAGTCGGTATTCTCGGCACAGCAATTAACGGGACTTGAACAGCAGAACTTTGTAACTGAACAAGAAATTATGTCTTTTTATAGAATTAAAGAGAAAGTATTATTACATAAAATGAAGCAACTTAAACAACTTACATTGAGAGAAATGTTTAATAAAGTAAACAATAAATATTAAGCTTTTTTTTTTTTTTTTTTGTAAATTTTAATACCCTTTAGATCATAATTGTTCTTTATTTCATAAATTACGGTTTCATATCTTTAATTTTAGAATTTCTGCATGCCATCTTACGAGATTTAAACTGATGATCTATAATCCGGAAAAATCGATAATCCGGAATCGCTGAAGTCCCGACGAGTCCGGATTAACGACTTTTGACTGTATAAATGAAAGATATTTTCTGAAAATATTATATACAAACCTCTTTGCTGTTTTCATTGTTAAATTCATTTTTCTCGCATTCCCATCAAAATTGAAGTAGTCATTATTTACCACAAAAAACTTCTCCTTTTCTGACTTTTGAGGGGTGATTGTCATTTCGCTCTTTGACCTATATGTAACTTTAACAGTTATAGTCCCAATAGGTGTAAACACTTCACCAATTTGGTTTAGGTTGGGGTTTTCACCAAGCTGATTCTCCTGCTCAGAAAGAGATAAAATATTATTTCTTTGACATATATTATGAGAAATAATGTTTCTTTTAGTAAATAGTTGAAATACATCAATCGTAACATTTTTTTTACAGAAATGTTCTAAGTCTAATGCATATACTAACAGATCATAAAAATATAACACTGCATTCAGACAAAATGGAAACAATTTCAAAAATATATTAATACTAGCAGCTTCGCTGCCAGCCTTTGTTTGGCTTTTAAATTTACTGGAAAAATGGCTGAAGGAAACACCAAGCGTTAAATTTAAAAACTGCATAGAATTTTACTCTGAAGAACAACTTCATAAAAAAAAAGTTATTACGGATAACAAAATTACAATGAAATAAGCAATATCCCTTAATACAAATGTTAATTATCCTAATAAACAAATTAACCAACTTCCCTTTGCAAAATCTTAAGAACTCAAATGGTATAAAGGAGGTTAAGAACTTTGTTTCCTAAAAAAATCACTCAAAACCTTTCAATATCTTAAAAACAGTGAAATGAGCAATAATTAACATAAAAGAATACAAAAAATGAAAAATTCTGAAAAGCAAAGTATAATTAATGATATTTTATCTTATATTTTCAAGAGAAAAAAATTACAATGAAATAAACTATATCCCTTAATACAAATATTAATTATCCTAATAAAAATTTAACCAACTTTCCGTTAAAGAAAAAAAATCATGCAAAACTTTTCAATATCTTACAAACAGTAAAATAAGCAAAAAACAACATGAAAGAAACTCAAAAAACAAAAAATTCCATGCATAATTTTACTCTGCAGAACAACTTTATCAAAAAAAATCAATAAAAATGTATTATATATATATATATAAAATGACAATGAAATATGCCAATCTCTTAAAAACAGTGACATAAGAAATACGATGAAAAATTGTTGCCAAACCCATATTTCTAAAAGAATGAAACTATTTAAAATGATGCGATTTCCTCAAAAATCTATCAACAACAATAAGATAGAAAAATTGTTGCCAAAATCACATTTTTAAAGATGTGTACTCAGAAGATTCATTTAAAAAATTTTCTAAAAATACAAAATATTATCATTTCTCCAAAATTCTTTTTGTAAAAGCAGTCGCAAGGATGAAAGCTTAACGTGTCCAAAAATCAAAGAAAAATAAACTGTACATTTTTAAAAATAAACTTTTTTAGAAAAATCCCGTTGAAAAGGTGTTAAGCTCCTTTTGCTAAATAAATTCGTATTTATTTGATTTATTGAAACACAAAATTTATTTTAAGTTCGTAAAATAGCTAAGTGCCTACGCTTCATGACGATGTGAAAATGGAGTGTGTAGAGTAAAATCTTGCTTTCCTACAGCCCATTATGTCTCAAAATGACGTGATTTCGTCACAAAACATAAAATTTAAAAAATTCGAATTCGAATTTCGAAAAAATCGCTTCGAGGTGCACTGGCTTTTGTCTAGATGCACCTATGTACCAAATTTCGTAGCCGTGGGTCTATTAGCTTACGCGCAGCACGAACGAAAGACACACACACACACACACGGACAGACAGACTCTTTGTTTTATTATATGTAGAGATGAATGATTACGAAATGCACAGTGGACAGTAAAAATGATATCTCACCTACTTCTTCCTGTCTTGTGTAGAAAAATATTAATTAAATTATAGCTATTACCATTACATAACATACAGGACATAAATCTTTGGTGCAATTTTATTACGAGGGCACCAGTCAAAAATTTCTATACCACAGTAGTTTACATGTGGTAACCAGTTTATTTTATCTCACAAACTACTCACGAACATTATTACAAATAAGTGGGATGAATGAACACTGATCTCACTTTTTTCCTTTGATATTTTCAGTTTCTGTTTTTCAGCGCAATTAAAAAAAATCAATAGGAATTATGCAATTTGGCAACTGTTAAACTACAGTGCCATGATTAAGCTCTTCCAAGACAAAGGTATCTAATCTGAAAGGCTTTATTTGGAAAATGATACTGTATTTTATTACTACTGGAGTGTCAAACTGGGTGATACACTGCAAAATCATATTGCAAAGAAAAATGTTTGCGGAGTGGATGCTAGTTTGAAGGTTTGTGCATTCCTTTTCTGAGAATTATTGGGTTTATTTATTTCTACTATCAAAAACTCATATTGATCGAATTCTGTCAATTTCAGCTGCTAATTGGAACAATTACATAATTCCTATTTGTGAATTTCTGTATTCGTCTTTATTTTTGCTTTTATTTTAAATTTAATAAAACAGAATTCTTTTCAGGAAGTTACATATATCAATAGGATTGCCACTGTCATCTCCACTACTCTTATCCACCAACTAACAGTTATGTTTGGCACCTTGTTCAATTTTAATTTAAAACAGAGTTTCTTAAACTGTGGGTCACAGGACCTACAGCAGAGGGGTTGCCAAAAATTTTAGCAGTTTTGATATTTCTTTTTAATTTATTATAATAATTTGACAATTACCAAATATTTTTATACAATATATTTGAAAATAAATAAAGATAAAACAACACAGACACAGAAAAAAACAAAAACATTTCAACACATTCTTTTTATAATATAAAAGTCCATTTTCCTTGCTTTGCATGTGATGCTGTCCTTTCATCTGCTACTTATATAAAATTTTCACTTTTTTCTATATCTTAAAATAAGAAATTAAAGTTAATAACCTAAAACTGCAATAGTATACAGTCAAAAGTCTTTAATCCAGACTCGTCGGGACTTCGGCGATTCCGGATTATCGATTTTTCCGGATTATAGATCATCAGTTTAAATTTGGTAGGATGGCATGCAGAAATTATAAAATTAAAAATATGAAACCGTAATTTATAAAATAATAAGCAATTATAATCTAAAGGGTATCAAAATTTACAAAAAAAGAAGCTTAATATTTATTTGTTTACTTTATTAAACATTTCTTTCAACGCGTGCATGCGTAAAGCATACATTACGCATAGCCGAAATTAGAAAATTGCAACCAGAAAACTATTTGATTTGTATTCGTGATATTTATAATGACGAGGAATTTGATTTAAATCATATCAAAGACAGAGTACATCGAGATGAAATACTACATTAGGTAAGGAATTATAAGCCGAATAAAATAAAAACATCTGCCCTGAAGACAACGATAGTGCTGACAGATCAACTTCCAGTTCATCGCGCGCCGCGACGTCACCCCCCCCTTCACGCAGAGCAGCGTGAAATTGATAAACAGATTTCGGAATGGTTAGATAAACAAAGGATACGCCTTTATCCATTTTTTGTAGCAATTCCACTTTTTGTTTGATGGACATCGAAACATACTTTTGTTTTGTAGATCCTTTCAGAGCTCCTGCATCGGAAATTCTATTTGACATAATCGAAAGTTCAAGCTTACTTTTATAAAATTGCTCTTACAGTCTGCAAAAAATAATAAGCCGGAAACTGAAATAGATAATTAGATAATTTTAGCTTATACTGTCCATTATACATTAAATGCGCACGCGAAAGCGTATTCTGCACTTGCGCACACGCATATGCGCAGTCATAAAGGTCTTGCGCGCACGCGTAAACGCATATGTGCATGCGTCAACATGCCGCATGCACAGAAAGATTTTAGCTTTGAGGTCCGGATTATGGGTGTCCGAATTAACGACTTTTGACTGTATTACATTGCAAGTGAAAAAATTGACAGTTTCACTCACAAGTGTGTTGAATTTGCGCAATATTTGTGGGGTCCCACAAAATTTTTGTAAATTTATGTGGTCCTGGGGGTTACGAAAAAAATCTCAGTTATAAAATGGGGTCGCGACTGAAAAAAGTTTCAGAAACCCTGACTTAAAAAGTAGACTACTTAGCTTGATTCTAAATCAACAATTAAGAATGGAATTACCTGTTAAGTTTTAATTTAAAATGTAGAACACTTAATTTTTAATCAAATAATAGAATTATCAAAATAACCAAACTGAGATATAAATGGGACTATACTCATTGTAAGTTTTAAAGTTAATAAATAGTGTTTGATATAGTTTTAATATAAGATGTTTAAAAAAAAAGAAAGTTTTACTTAATCTTAAAACTGTAATTTCTAGCAATATGAAAATGTGTCACATATCACTTGATTAGGAAAAGAAGTTCTTATTTTAATTTTGAGTTTAATATCTAAATCCAAATACTCTTCAATGCTGAATCAGCTGATACAGAGACTGTATGTTATGTTCTTGACTTCTTAGGTTGCACATCTTGAACACATGGCAACATGAAAATGATTAATATCCATTGCTTTAATATCTGTTGGTTAAATTCTGCTTTAATATCTGTTGTTTAACAAGAAATACACTCACAGAATATCTGATATAGCAAATTTCCATTTCTTTCCATCATTAACATATGACACATCTCTGTATTTTGAGAAACAACAATTTTAGGTGCAAGTAAAATCTATTCTACCTTTTTGAAACACTATATGCTTCATATTAGCATACATTTTTTAATTTTGATATGCTCCTATAGACTAAACAAAAATTTGGTTATCTTTTCATTTCACAAACAGAATAAAAAATTTACAGTCATTTCAAAGCTAAAACAAAAAACATCGTACCACAGGTTCTCCAGAATAAATTCTATACAACATAACATAGGTTTCAGAACTTTGACGTAAAGAAAGTTTGTAAGCAGGAACAGCTCGTGTAATGGCAATGACAGATTTCAAAAGCACCATCAAATTGCTGAAAACTATTTCAGATTCTGCATAAACTTTATACCGAGGATCCCAGTACTGGAGAGAATAAATCATATGTAAACACCATGTTTCCAACATTAACACATCACCATCAGCAGTCTTTAGAAGAATATCAATACATAATGAAAATTCCTTCAATGGATTAATGTTGCAGCATGCTACTTTAATCTTTTCCTGTATCTCTGGGTCATCCTCTATGTTTATTTCAAACTGAATAAATAAATAAAAAGGTAAACATTAAAATGAAATAAAAACAAAATTTTAAAAACTGAAATAAGTTTTAAATGAAGAAAACAACAGCAAACAAAAATCTCTATTACATATGCAACCAAACAAATCTGATCTAAATTTTTTTAACAAATTTGAATATTATTATTAATAAACTAGTTTACAGCAAAAATCTCAGTATAACATATAAATATATATCATAAACACAAAGCTCCACTGTGAATTGAAAGAAGCTAAATTCAATAAACAATAAAATACAAATTTACAACAATTTGTTATACAATTTCTTTGCATGTATTTCAGAAGTTTAGAATCTCACAGTTGTAAGAGACAGAAACAACCTGTTAGCAAAGAAGAAATAACCAATATTTTTCAAAAGGTTTGTAGGTATTCTATATGCATATACTATACACATATATATAAAGTTCATAATTTTCTAACTGAATTAATTCTTGTCAGCTTTACATGATACAGAATTCATTTCTAAATACACAGTTTCAAAGTTTACTTTTAGACTAGTTTCAAAGGCCCAAACTATCGATATTTATTGTACGTCGGTGAACATTATCAGCAGTGAAATTTAAAATACAAATTTGAATTATTAAATAAGGATTATGTAATGCTTTAAAAAACAAAACACATTCTTCTTCAAATCTTTCTGTAATTCCCCCCCACACTATTCTTCTCCCAGAGTCAATAGCGATGTGTTTTTTCTTAAAAAAATATCAGAGAATTTCGGTGTGCAACCCTTGGCAGCGGCAGCTATCGAGGAAATACATTTTCTCATTGTTCCTTACAGAAAATTTTCAGATCTAGGTGCGGTCAAGAAAAAAATTAAAACTAATTTGAATACTGTCCTTTTTATTCCTATTTATAGGTGGTATAAAACTATTTGTTTAAAACTTAAAACTTTGGTTTAAAGTTTGACAACTTATGAAAGAAGTTACCTTCTCTTAAAAAGCCAAGGTCATAAACTTTCGAATTTTACAGAACTTTTCCCTTCGGAAAAAGTCTCTCCATTGGGGAAGAGGTTGTAAGAGCTTTAAATATTGTTTTTAATCTCTCATACATTTGAAATAGATGAATAATAATGTATATGTTACTGGCAATGTGTGAGGCATGCAGTTCTTGCATAAAGAATGTAATTATTTTATTTTAAATAAGTTAGACTACGTTTTCTGTTCTTGTTTGTATGTAGCCATTTTGAGTGTTAAATAAAGTTATTGTTGTGTTCCATCAATGGAGTTTGCTTCAGTTGCGAAACAAGTTGACAGGCTCAAACAAATGAAGTGACTGGACAGACCCAAATATGGTAACACAAAATAACAAATGAAATATAAAATATACACAACAAACACGTTTATTAATTCTAGATTAAATTCAGATAGTAGGAATAACTGATCAGTATTCTACAAAATTAACCTTAAGATGTAAAATAACATATATATCATTCCCAAAATTACACTCATATTAATAGTAAGTATACCATTTTTTTTTCATTCCATAACTCCTCAAATATTAAACTGGTGAAACAAATCTTAATCTTTTAAAATAACTGGTCATTTACTTAACATTTCTAATCACTTCTTGATATTATTAACTAGTAATATATAATTTATATAAGTAATAACAATTTATATATGTGGATAAATTATTATTAACTAGTCCACCATGAAATTTGGGAAGACAGAGAAAGGACAAAAAATAATTTTAAAAACTTTCACTCACAGGTGAGAGACAATTTTTCCAAATTGAAAGAAAGATCTTTAGTGTCCCATCCAATATTCTGAGAAAAGAGCAAAGACCATTTTTCTGGCAAAAACACTTTCAGAAGTGTCCATTATTATCAGGAACCACAGGTGCAGGATACTAAAGACAAATGTTTCTTCAATCAGTGAGGAACCGCTTTGAAAATGTCCATTCTGGAATGCATCTGGGTCAACAAAAGCCAGATACCAAGGACAACTACTTGTATCAGGAACACTTTGTAAAGGTCTATTTATCGTGTTCGGAAGAGATAATGAAGAAGAGGCTTGTGCAAAGAGCTCTTGACATTGCACAAACAAAAAATTCTCATCTGCCAAGAGAAATGCAGCCCAGCCCCAAACTGCTGCCGCAGGCAACCCCCAGCAAAGCAAATGCCCCACGATCTCTTTTAAAGAAACTTCACCACTCTATAACTCCAATCTGTCTGACTGCAACACCCTTACAAATTCCAGAGAAAACTTGGTTTCTCCACTCACTAAAAACTCCACATAAAATTAAACTTGACCAACCCGAGAATGGGTCTTTTTATTTTGCTCAAAAACTTCACACCCTCAACAAATCAAAATAAGGATACTGTACAAAGACCTGCAAACCAGCTGGAAAATGGTGAGTCACCCAGAAGCATGAGAAACCAAAATTCAAACCCCAGCTAACAAGCAGAAAAACGAGAGATAAGAATTGAGCTGCTCCTTAAGACGAAATTTACAGACACCCTTCCGTGTGAAAGAAACTCATTTATTCAACACTTGCAGCAATCACAAAGTAAGTTAGCAAGACGCCAGTTAAAATTTCCTTTTACCATCCAGTCAACAAACCCCCCCAAAGAATGATATGCGACACTAATATACTGCCTTCTGTTATCATAAAAGCTATGGAGAACGAAGTCATTTCCGTCCAAAGAAATGCTCCCTATCTTTTTCTGAAAAATCGAGCCACTGAAAAATAAACAGCTAAAGATTTTAACAGTTACAAATACATATTTACAACACTCTTTACAATTTCAATTTAAATAAAATACCTAACTAAATACTAATTCAGAAGTCAAACAACAAAAATCAGCGTTATATTTACAAAATTTTCACAGGACTAGTTTCGATGGTTTTACCGAACCACCACCTTCAGCTGCAAAACCGCAGATGAACAAGATAGGAAATAATGATAAGATAAGATAAGAAAGCCTGGACAAGAATAAGCAAGTGGTGCCATCTGTTGGCGAAACCAGAACTAAAACATAATTTCTCTAAAAGCCGAAGGCAAATTTGGATTCGAATTAGGATCGTTAACTAGAACAGAAAGATTTTTATGAATGTGAAATGCCTCTAGAAAATCCAGTTCTCCAATGGAAGATGTTTTTTGAATAATTTTGGCAGCAGAAAAATTGAAAGTGTGATTTTCGGACCAACAATGTTGAGGAACAGAAGACTTCTGTGTTTCCTTTTTTCTAACATATGCCTCATGTTCTTTGACGCGAAATTTTAAGGCTCTCTTAGTTTGGCCAATGTAAATTAAACCACACTGGCAAGGAATCCTATAAATACCCCAGGAATTCATATCCGGAATGGGGTCCTTGAGTACAGAAGTCGGAATTTTATTGATGGGAGAATAAACAACCCGAAAGTTAAATTTCTGCAAAATATGTGCAACTTTATAGCTAATTGATGGAAAGAAGGGAATGACAATAGAATTTTTATAATCTCCTAAAATAAGAGTGTGGCTTTTAGTGAGTCGAGATGAGAATTTTTTAACTGCTTGATTAATAATGTTGGGTGAAAAGCCCCTGTCAATAGCTTTTTCTAAGGGAAACTGCATCAAGGTTTTTCTAAGGGAAACTGGCTCATATACGTGTTACACATGAGGAAAACCATGAAAATGCCCATAAAGCCAGCCCGTTCATTGGATTCAAACCTCGGACCAAACTAAAAGTGTTCAACGACTTTACCATTAGGTTGCTATTCGGCCCTATATCAGCTGGGCAATAAAAAGATTAGAATTAGAATATGGTGGACTAATAAAAGTGAGAAAAAGTTCAGGCTCAACTAGTAGATGATTTACAAAGTTTATATAGTCCCAATGTTGGCATTCATCTAGCTAATGGTTAAAGGTCTCAATAACATGAATGTAGACAGGATTGCTAAAACATAGTTTACTAAAACCTAACTTAATCCTAAACTATTTTGCTTTTCTTTTCCGTCTTCAATTATACTAATATTAATAAAATTAACTATTAAGGATAATTAATCATTTTTTAACTTTCTATCAAGTAAAGCAGAGAATCTGAGATGCATTTTTGTCAATAAATATTTTTTATAGGAAGCATATTGATTCTCAGGTATAATAAGATAATAAAATTAAATTAAAAACATACAAACTAAATTCCACATATTAAGTAATATAATAATATCCAATAATCCAATAAGGATATTTATTTGAAATCCAATTAAAATACAATTTTATAAACATCAGTTACTCTGATTACAAAAAAACAGATTTAGCTCAGTAACTCTTCATGTTTCAACTTAATAAGAGATAATTGTGCTAAAACTTGTTGACACTCTCCTGCAAGCCTTTATTACATGAAGATAAGGTATCAAGATAAAACAAAGAAATGTTTTTACAACGAACATACAGCATAATCTGCAGCAAACTTAAGCTGTTTATGAATTGCTAATGAAACACAGAAATATTGATCAACAGTCTATAGGAAACTCTGTTATTATAAATATATATTAAAACACTTTTAAAATGAGTTTAAACTGCAACAATTAATCCTAATCTTAGAACATTTAGGGCCCAAATGGAATTATTTCAAGAGAGTTCTTGAGTTACCTTAATCATATTGGATGGGATTAAGAAAGATTATCAAAGAAAGGCAAAATTTCTTCATTACAATGATTACTAATACAGAGTGATGAAACAAAATTTCATTTTTTTTTTTTAATGTTTTAAGTGCATCATGTTTATATTTGTTAGAATATTCAATCTATTAACCATTTTATTTGACTTGAACCATTTAAAAAATCTGAATTAGAATGCATTCCATTACATCTGGAGCATGGAAACTTATCATTAGAGATTTTGATTTGCTGCTTATCATCTTATCATTACAGTCAAACATGTTTCATCTGCATCCACAGTTACAGCATTTTTAAATCATTTATTCCAGGAATATCACATATTAAATGATCATCAGACTCATTCAAATGCATTAGAATATTGTGAAATCTATCCCACAGTATTTATAAATAGCATACTTGTCAACCAACAACACTCAAAAATCAAGAGATTTTTTTTAGAAATCAGGAGATTTATTTTCAATGACAAAAAGATTTTTAAATGATAAAAATATATTTTTTAACATAATTACCTTCAAATCATTACTAATTAATATCTGAAAATTCAGTTACTAATTTTTAAATGCAAACAGAACATTCTGTATTAATAACTTTTTGGTCCTTTGTTTCCACACAGAAAAATTAACTTTTCGTTTTTTCATTAGAACTCATGTTGTCCCTGTGTTTTTGTGTATGAACATGTTTGAGAACAATTACCCTTCTACCGTGTGATATATATATATATATATATATAAAATCGAAATGACAAACAGTACACATTACAAATGCATTAGATTTCCTTCAGAAAATATTAGAAGAAAAGTCATCTGTGTACGATTTTTGAAAAGTGCATGAGTATTTTACCTTTTTCACAGACATAATTAATACAAAATATTGTAATTTCTTAAACTATTTCTCGAAAGCACGTACGTTCACACAGGTTAGTAACAGGATGAACGAAATAACAACCTCAATCTTGTTTGTGCTCATTGGTAATCTGTGCCAGATAACATGCAAAGGCAATTAATGCTCATTAGAGAAACGGAACATGACATTTCTGGACACATGCTCTCACTCACAAAGCAGAAGTGCGCTATAATTTCTCACTGATGAAACTACTTTGGTTTTCTATGCAGTTTTTTTATGCAGAGAAAAACCAGGTGCTTTCAGGCACCCCAAATCACTTTTTTGGCGATACAAATAATGAAGTATTAAGCAAGCTACATAAAAATCGTGAGAAATTTTAAGAATAAGAGAAAATTTGAAGAAATATGCTGTAAATCGGGTTGGAGGGAGAACGGTCAAAAATCGGAAGTATCCTGCCTAAATCGAGAGAGTTGACAACTCTGAAATAGGAATTAATTTAGACAACAGTAAGTTTGCTTTACTTCCACATTCATCAACGACTGAATTATGTTTCAAATTAAAATTTTTGAAGCAATCAGAAATGACTATCAGGCATTCAGATTGGCCAGATAAAATGACTATCGGGGATTCAGATATATTCAGGAATTTCCAGCATCCTAGGTAATAAGTGCAGTTGCCATCCTACATAAATTAAACATATTAATAATTCAAAGTGAAATATATTATTATTTAGTTGTTTCTTGTCAGAACAATTTAGTTGGCACTTTTTGAAATTTGGTGTTCCCTGCGGCTATTCAATAAAGCTATGACATGTAATAAAGAATAAAAATTCATTACTTTTCCATCCTATTCAGTTAATTAAAAGTAGCAGTTTTGAAATCTTTTTAAATGCCTGATTACACACAGATTAACTAGCTGTAAAATTAATATAATATTGAGATGGCACAAATATATTGTTGGATAAACTGTGAAATCTATATAATTTGGAGTGTACTTCCTAACTATTCATTAAATGAGCTCGAAATGGTACATTACTTTGCTTTTCCAATGCAATTTCTGCTTGAAAGAGAACTTTCTTCAACTATGATGTAAAATTTTTTGCTCATTTTTAATTTTAAATTATATTAAAATGAGCAATCTACAATTTTGGAGACCTTTAAAATAATATCTTGACATTATGGAATAACTTTGATATAATTCCACTTTGGCATGATGGGATAATTTTAAGAAATCAAATCATAATTCCAGAATTTTTAAATATATACAAAAGTCATTTGTTATATTCTACTTTTAACAGAAAACAAAATTTAAATATTTCCTTACAACATCATGATCACGTGACTTTCTCATGCAATGTTTATATTTCTCTCCACAGCGGGACTGCACAATTGCCTGAGGAACTTTTGAGATGAAAGCTTTGAGATATTTTTCCAATTTTTCTCGATCCTGAGCTGAAATTTTCTGCAACACTTCTGTAGTCATAATGTTAAACTATTTGGAAAGAAAACTATAATTTAACTATCGTCTATTAATAATGTAAAAGCCTACTCATAAAATTTTACTTTAAATAATGCATCAAAACCTAATATAACACTACCTCTAAAATTTAAGATGATGATAAACAAAAGATACATAAATATGCATATTTTGGAAGGTGGTTTACAGAAGGCTTGGCTTTGATAAAGAAATGAATTCTTAAAAAAAATGAAAGCTTAATGCCATTTATTATTAGTTGCAAAATTTTATGATTATAAAAATATATATGATGAAACCATCCCATAGATGACCTCTGAAAATGATCAACTTTTTGGGGAAACAAGCATTAGTACTGAACATCACATCTCTAAGACAATCCCCTCTGTATACCAAAAATGTATATACGAGTAACTGCAGTGATCATCTTACATATATTTCATTATATATATATCATTGGAAATAATTTGGTTTCATATTCAAATTCCTGAAAATTACAAACTACAGATAAAATATATATCATGTACTACAAATCTCAAAGTAGCAATCCATAATGCAATGTCAGAGTTAGTAAGGTAAGCATGAAAAAGGAAAGAAAGAAGAGTACTTTCTGATTATCTGTATCTCCACTCAAAAAAACTGGAATAAAATATGAGGAAATGCATCATGTTTCTAAAAAGCATTCTGACAACTGATGATGTTGCCAAAAAGTATTTACGTGGCTACCCTGATATGCATGGAAGAATGGCTCCAGATGTCTTCTTACTTCTCCAGACATATTCACCAGTGTGACTATAGATTATGATTCATTCTATAGGATTTGGGTTAAAACAACATGACAAATACTGATTATTGGAGATACTAAGGTTACAAGAATCAGAAAAAGTATCATGGTGATTCCTTTTGCCTTAGTTATCTCCAATAACCCTTCTAAAGGCATTTCTTTACTTTAGCATAAGAGTGGATTACAAATAGATGTTTCCATCAAATCTATCCCAGACTTAACGAAATCTCAGATTTATGAATATATAAAGCATAATATAACTATAACTCATTTAAGTATCATATGCCTCTTTTTTTTTTTTTTTTTTTTTTTTTTTTTAAGGATTTTAATGCCGAAGTTATGCACAAGGTTGACTTTGTACAATTTTCTGATATTTTTTTAGCAAAAACAGATCAATGTGCACACTGGGAACATAACTTTTATAGAAAAAGTAAAATGCATAAAAATAGATAGTATTGGATAAATTGTTGAAATAGAGATAAAAATATCTAAAAAATTCTCTTCAGAGTTGCCAACAAGTTTGAAGCTTTTCAGTGAGGATGCAGATAATCAGAAAGTACTGAAAGAAGGCCAACACAGTCAGTGGAGTAGAAAGCGTAACTGGTGCCCAGGGCAAAATACCTTTTTAGCACCCCCCCCCTGAAAACAAAACACAGTGATATGATGAAAATGCCCCTTTGCAAGCGGGGCCCGGGGCTTTGTACACCCCCTTGCTCCCCCCTCGATACGCCACTGAACACAGTCAAATAATAAAACAACTAGATCTCTTCTTTTTATTTTAAAAAGGAAGCAGCAGCCTTTTTTATTAATGTAGAAATTTCCCTTTTCTACATGCATTTAAAAAATTTCCTTTTTCAATTATAATTATACTACAAAATTATATTTTGGCTAAAAAATAGTAGAAAATTACAATACAATTTCCCCTGTAATGTCAATTTCTGTACTTTAATTTAAAAAAAAACAACTTTATTTTGATATAAATTCCCCATTCTGCAACACTAGTTTTTCACTAATTTACATCTAAAAAAAAGTATGGATTTAATTTAAATACTTTCTATTTAAAATATATATATATTTCTTTAAATATAGTAGGCTATACTTCAGAATTTTGCTAATCTGAAAATGTTAAGGTTTCACAATACAGTCAAAAGTCGTTAATTCGGACACCCATAATATGGAATGATCTATAATCCGGACCTCAAAGCAAAAAACTTTCTGCGCATGCGCCGCTTTGACACATGCGCATAGACGTTTACGCGTGCGTGTAAGACCTTTACGATTGCGCATATGCGTGCTCGCAAGCGCAGAATACGTTTTCGCTTGCGCGTTTTATGTATAACGGACGGTATAAGCTAACATTATCTAATTATCTATTTCAGTTAAAGTTGATGATTGCGTTGTTCCTTAATCTTCGAATTGGATCTGTCTTATTATTTTTTGAAGACTCTAAGAGCAATTTTATAAAAGTAAACTTGAACTTTCGATTATGTCAAATAGAATTTCCGATGCTGGAGCTCCCAAAGGATCTACAAAACAAAAGTATGTTTCGATGTCCATCAAACAAAAAGTGTGGGAATTGCTGCAAAAAAACGGATAAAGACATGAAGAAGGTGACAGAAAGGTTAGTGAAAACGAAAAAATTTCGATTACATTGACAGTTAGTCGGTATTCTCTGCACAGCAATTACGGGACTTGAACAGCGGAACTTTGTAACTGAACAAGAAATTATGTCTGTTTATGGAATTGAAGAGAAAGTATTATCACATAAAACGAAGCAACTTAAACAACTTGCATTGAAAGAAATGTTTAATAAAGTAAACAAATAAATATTAAGCTTTTTTTTTTTTTTTTTTTTTTTTTTTTTTTTGTAAATTTTGATACCCTTTAGATCATAATTGTTCTTTATTTCATAAATTACGGTTTCATATTTTTAATTTTAGAATTTCTGCATGCCATCTTACGAGATTTAAAACTGATGATCTATAATCCGGAAAAATCAATAATCCGGAATCGCCGGAGTCCCGACGAGTCTGGATTAACGACTTTTGACTGTACATTACTACATTTCAACACAATAATTAGTAAATGCTGTCACAGGATTATGATGACAGTTCTAGTAATATTGATAAATATGACAAAATTTGGTACTTTCTGATTGTTTGCACTCAACCTCCCTAAAAGTTGCAAACCAAGGGAGACTAATTTTTTACCAAGCTAAAATTTGTTTCAACTTAAAGTTATGTTTTAATTTGATTGTTTATGTTTTAATTTATTTAAATTTTGTTTTAATATGTTTAATTATTTTAAGATAACAGCCTTTTTCAAAAATGGTGGAGCACAAAGAACCAATTAACAAAACTAAAAATGCAAAAAACATCCATAATAAAATAATTGTTTTTTCTTTATGCCGTTGTTCTCATATACACAGCAATGTGTTTTAGCTTTTTTTTAAAAAGAAAAAGAATTGCAAAAACTCAGCATCACACATATTATCATTCTTCCCATATGCAGAGCAATCTGTTTTTGCTTAATGAAAATATAAATGAGAGAATAGAAGAAAAATAAATAAGAGAATTGCAAGCATTTGGCATTAATGCACAAATTTTGATCCATGAAACTTGACTGTTTGTGAAAGCACAACTTCACAGAAAGTGAATCTTTGCATTCCCTATTTGCAGACAAAATATCATATTTCTGATAAAATATAATGTTTTCTCTTTCATCAGCCAGCAACTTCACAGTCCCATAATAATTCCTTACTAGAAAAAAAATTCTGATGTGGACACCACATGACTTCCTCATACAGCCTATTAAATTATATACATTTTTACTGCCCATCATCTAAATTCATTTCCTTGAATTATTCCAACTTCAATAGCTGATCTCTAAAGGCAAGTTGATAATGAAATCAAAAATTGCAAATTTTGAAATTAAATATTCCAGTAAATCTTTGTCATACAGAAGACAAACTTCTCATAATTTTATTTTTTCATACCGAGCATAAAACTTTCCCAAATATAAGTATACGAATTGAATAGATTGCATTAAAAATTAGATTTCATTATTTGTATTTTTTTTATTTCATTTGATTTGACACTGCCAAAACCTTTTCATCATTTAAAACACTTCTGTAATTAGAAGTACTTGACTATAACCGGTTCCGAAAATAAAGGCCAGGTAAGGGGGTGGATTTATATATATATATACACACACACACATTTGGTACAGCAGAAAGCAATAAAAAAGGGAGGTCTACAACTACATGTTAGAACTAGAACAGTCCCATATACAAACAACTAGTCCACAACTAAACAGTTCCATATACAAAATTTCAACATTCTATGGCTAATATTTTTCTAGTTAAGTGAGATACATACATACTACACAGATGTTACAAAAAGACCTTTTGAATCTCTTTTAAATTCATTCTACAATCTGTTTTGGAAAAAAAGAGTCTTATTCTGTGTATCCGTACAGACGTCACATGAAAAAAATCATTCAAATGGATTTGGCACAAATCAAAATGGATCCTTGAAATGTGATACCTGAAATTTTTTGCTATTACCTTACTTCCTTCTTTTACTTTGTAATACGTCCTTCACTTTGTACAAGGAAATAAAAATTACTCGAACACAATAAAAAGAAACACTAATCAGAAAATTGACTGTCAAATTTATAATAATAATTAATTACAATAAGACAGAAAGCTGCTCTCATCTGTTGTACACACATACATAACTATGTTGCCACATCAATACATTTTGGCAATGTTATGCATTGCCTACTTTGGTGACAAAATGTGTTGTCTTATGAATACTTTTCCATGGATGAGAATAATCACACAGAACCCAAAATTTTATAAATACCATAGGCAAAATTTAAGAACAAGAAAGACTACACTGGTTGACAAAATGATATGTGTTGCACTGGCTACAAACATGTTGGTTTATTTGATTATGACAAAATTCATAAAGGCTATCCACCTAAGAGAAATATCTTTATGGAGGATTTTCTAAGGGGAATTGACATACGTGTCTACAAATGGGACTACAGAATAATCTTGCATAACTTCATGAAAAAGTAAGTATTAAAGCATGAATTATGTATAAAATAATTTTACTCAGTCTAACAGCTTCTAAAAGGTTAAGTTTAAAATCTTTTACATTATATGCCATGTATGTAGTATAATGTAGTGTTTCCTAATCCTGAAAAAGTCCTTCCTAGTCCTAGTTTGCAATTGATATTTCTTGACTTTTTATTCATAAAATATGACTGCCATTTTTCATGCTGATATGAAACCTGCCAGAAGGGAAAACTCATAACAAAAGAATTTTGGGCTAATCTTTGGAATATGGTAACAGGTAGTTGATGTAAAGATGGTTCAGATGGTTTTGAATGGGTTTGTCACAAGAAAGGTTCAAATGCTCACCATAGGAAGCATTCCTTTAGAAAGGGAACATGATTTGAGGAAAGTTTTTGGATGCTATTAAGGAATTTTCTGTGCCACGGACTGAAGACTCAGAAATTTCTAAATAAGGTAAGTGGATATTTTCTTTATGTAGTGCTTAGATGCTATAAGATGAATTTCCTTTCTTATGTTATTTCATTGTTTGATTTAAAAGGCAGCTTATTGAGATTATATATTTTTTGTTTGGCTCTAGTGTAGAATAGGGTGCTCCTCCGACTTTTTAAGGGAAAATAGATCCATGTGTACATGGACAAAGGTAATGAATGTGCAATGCCAAGTTTGTGCAGTTCTCCGATTTTTTTTTTAAGTGAAAATAGATCGATGTGTACACAGATACCGAGTTTGTGCAATTGTTTGACTTGTTATTTTGGCTTTGCGTAGTGGTTATTTTTGGTGCAAAAATCACCACTACACAAAGCCAAAATAACAATTCAAAGAACTGCACAAACCAGGTGTCTGTGTACTACCAATTTTTACCAATGGCCACCTGTAAATATATTTTTACCCCCCGCCCAAACAAAAGTAAATGGATCTCTTATCTAACTGTCTTTTCCTAAATTTACAGGAAAGTTGGAATGAAAATTATTAGCATGTCCTACGCAGTATTTTCAAGGCTTTAAAAAATATATGAAATTTATAAATATAAATGTATCTGAAGAATAAAGATCAAAAGGTTAAAAGGGGACAACACTTTACATACATTTTAAACATTCATTTAAATCTTACATGAGTATGTCAGTGTAGAACATAAATAGTATTTTATATTGAGTATAGGCAGTGTCTATAATCTACACTGTAAAGCGAGAGAGAGAAGACAAATATATATTCATGAATATCTAGAAGAATTTATTAGTTGACAATTTTGGCAATTGAACACTTGATAATTATTATAAAGATGAAGATGAATATGATAACTTGCAGTTATACTGAATATGGTAACTTGTCATCATTACTACCTGCAAGTCACTAAGTCACCAAAAACCACTGTATACTCATAATTGAGGATTAGCACATGAAGTGATAAAGAAACAGTTCAATAAAATAAGATTAGCCAAGATTAGTGTTTTATATTTCATTTAAATACCAATGTTTCGATATTTAACACTAAGCTGGCAAAAGGTGGCTAAAAATAATTTTTGCACTAGACTCTGAAAATTTGGGATGGTCATAATTTAAGTGTTACATTTATTTTTTGTGCCAGACTTCTGAGCTTTTATTACCGCTATATTTTGAACTGATTAATTTTTCTACAAACTTATAATAAAAACTGAATGCAACATTTTTTAAAAAAGATAAAGAATGTGAAAAATTCCAGGTAAAGCTAATTTTTGATTTATAGTGTAACTAATCTTTTTTAACATATGCATTATACCTACTTTAGCAACAAAAAATGCTCTTTCTAAGAGATAGGATTTATTATAAATGCATGATTCCTCTCTTCAAAGTACTATTATAGGATAAAAAGCTACCTTATTTTTATTTCACGGGATACCTTACTACCGAAAAGGCAGTAGCATTTCCGTTAACTGTAGATAGTTACGAACTCCTTTCTAATTTCAAGCACAATTATCTTGATAAATTACTAAATTCAAAACAGACTTTTAAAGCTTTCAGTTACTTACCAATCAAAACAAATCATAAACAGCGGTACCACGCGCGTCTTCAAAGTACTATTATAAGATACAAATCTACCTTATTTTTATTTCCAGGGATACCTTACTACAGAAAAGGCAGTAGCATTTCCGTTAACTGTAGATAGTTACAAACCCCTTTCTAATTTCAAGCACAATTACCTTGATAAATTACTAAATTGAAAACAGACTTTTAAAGTTTCCGGTTACTTACCAACAAAAACAAATCATAGACAGCGATAGCACGCGCGTAAAACCCATACGTAAATATAAACACGATAACCATAGACCATAGACCATCGCGTTTATGAGAGGTGTACGACCTGTGAGGGCCTTTACCAATCTATTTTTGTTTCCGTATGGACTGAATCATCTGAAGTAAAATACCTGAATAATCAGGACTGAAAGAAATTCTCTATGGCTGTACTAAGCAGCTGTGGATTCTATTTTTGTGTGAATTTTCATCTAATAATATTTTTAGAACATTTAAATAATTTTTTATTCTACAGAATAGTAATATTTTCCTGCATCTTGTTTCTTTTCGGATTTCTCTGTATAGTAAATTTCACGATTTTATGTACATTTGTTTTCCTAAAAGTAGTTTTCTTGATTATATGCTAGATTTCAAAATATCTACAAGTCCTTTCAAAATATACAAGTTCGTGAATTTTCACTTAATTTCTGCCCTACAATATTTTTAAAATATTAAGATAATTTCTATTTTCATATCTTTAAATCTGTATATATATAATAATATTTTTCTGCTTCTTATTTTTCTTTCTGGATTTCTATATGTAGAATTTTTTATGTACAATTATTTTGATATTTATTTTTCCTGATTATATGTAAAAAGAAAAATTTTTTCTTAATATTTACAAGTCCTTTGCGTTTTAAGGTTCCGCTGAGGGTCGAACGTTTTGATCTTAGGGTTGTACTAACTTGCATGGCACAGTGGTAGGGGTTTATCCGTTAAGCTACCGGTCGCTGTTGATTTATCACCAATTGCTGTTATGATGGATTGTTCTTGGCCGTTTTTTAAAGGGCTGAGATACTGTGTAGTCATATTTTCCTATTTTTCTGAGGATGTCATAGTTGCTATTGTCCAATTTTTTGAAAAAGTTATGCGATTGAAATGAGAATTTCTGTATTTAGTTGGTTTATTTTTAGATCTCTATGCAAGGTGGAATTTCCTTACAAACCATGGTGCGTTTGTTATCATTCTTAAAGCTTTGTTTTGAATTTTTGTAGGATCTCTCTATTACTCTTTGCTGCGCTTGCCCATGCTGGTGGCAGCGTTATAATAATATAGGACGGATGCTTTGCAAGTAGAGGATTCTTTTGATATTTATATTTAGAGGTGAATTCTTCCAATTAGTGGATATATTGATTGTAGAGCTTTGGATGCTTGGTTCTTGTTTCTATTATGTGTTTTTAAAGGTTAGTTTTTCGTCAGGAGGACTCCTAAGTATTTGTAGCCGCTTTCCGGGGGATATTGTTGTTTTCAATTTCAGATCTTGGTAAATATGTCTGGATTGCGTTCTTTTGAAGATGACTACTGTTGATTTGGTGGCATTTATTTTTATTTTCCATCCTTTGTACCAGGGGGCGAGTTGGTTATTGCATTTTTGTAATTTTTGGGGTGGCATAGTCTGGATTCATGGAGCTGCAGATAATAGCTGTATCGTCTGCGTAACAGGCGAGGAAGGCATCTTTTATTGTTGGGATATCATTTGTTGTAAAGATTATATAGTAGTGGAGAGAGATTTGAACCTTGTGGTAGGCCGCTACTGATTTTCTTGATGAGAGAAGTATGTGATTTGATTTTTACTTGGAAGGATATATTGCTTAGGAAGCTATTTATGAGTGCTATGATTTTCAGAGGGAAGTTGTAATTAATAAGTTTGATAAGGAGGCCGTCGTAATGCCAAACCTTATCAAAAGCTTTTTCTATGTCGAGGAATAATGCTGCTGTGTTTCGTTTTTATTGAAACGATTCGCCTATTTTTTCAACTATTCTCGTATTTGTTGGGTTGTGGAGAAATTTTTTCCGGAATCCAAATTTGATGTTCTTGTAGTAAATTTCTTTCTGTGATAAAATCTTCAAGTCTTTGGACGATGATACGTTCAAAGACTTTTCCTAATGATGAGTCTGTTGTTGCCTTTCCTGGTTTACCTGGTTTCTTTATGACAGTTATGATGGCGTGCTTCCATTGAGCAGGGAAGGAATTTAATTTTAGGCACGCATTTATTATTTTAGTCAGATATACTATTGCTTTTCTTGGGAGTTCTTTTAATGCTTTGTTGGTGATATTGTCATGGCCTGCGGCTTTTCTTTTGTTTAGATTTTTGATGATAGACTTGATTTTTAGTGGAGTAATCGGTTGGATGGGGGCATCCGGGACAGTTGGTTAGGATGTGCTGTACATGGTTTTCGATATTTATGTCGTTTGGGTTTGGGAAGTTGTTTATCGTGAACTGTTTTTTCGTATGAATTTGCAAAAAGCTCTACAATTTCGTTTTTAGGTTGTGAGTGGTAGTATTGCCATCAGATATTGGACCTATGGTTGTTTCTGTTGTTTTTAGAGATTTGGCTATTTTCCCGACGGAGTTGTTGTCTGTGTGGGAAAGGCTTTCTAGGAAGATATTCCAGGATTTTCTTTAAATTCTTCATTAATTTTCGCAGTTGCCTGTTGCTTCTGTTGAATTCCCGTAGGTCTCTTGGATCTTGTGTGTTTGAGCAATTTTTCTTTCTTAATCTATTCTTCTCTTTGATCTTGTTTTGGAGATTTTTTGGGAGAGTTGCGTTACGTTTTTTGGATGGGGTGTTTGTTTACTATTGTCGAGGGGTAAGTTGAATTTTTTGAGAGAAAGTAATTTATTGCGTTTTCTATTTCTTCTTTCATTTTGGGGAGAGAAGGTTGGGTTGATGCTATTGTTATTTCATGTTTAAATTTCGACCAGTTTATTTTACATTTTAGAGGTGGTGGTAGTCCTTGTTGGAGTCCATAGGGTGAATTTGATGGGGAGATGATCCGAATCTAACGCAGTGTCGACTTGCAGATATGGTTGTTGATTAATTTTAGAGGTGATGATTAAGTCTAGTACATCGTTGGAGTTTGGGTGGATTTTGGAGTAGAAGGTTGGTTCTATTGGAGCAGTGATGATGATATTATTGTTGTTGCTGTAGTTGTAGAGTAAGGTTCCGTCCAGGTTATTGTTTTTGGAGTTCCAGGTGGTGTGTTTTCAGTTTAGGTCCCCCGCAATAATTGTGGGGAAACCTAAACTGATAATTTTATCGATGTCTTGAGTGCATAGGGTTTTTCCTGGTGGTTTGTATACTGCAACTAAAAGTAGTTTATATTTGCTGGGAGTATACAGGCGCATGCTTCAATACTATTGAGGGTTGGTTAACTGAAATTTGGTGCTATTTAGACTTCTTTTGATGATAATAGCTGTGCCGCCTCCACGGTTGTGAAGTCTGGTCCATTCTATGTATGTCAAAGTTTGGAATTTTGAAGGAGTCTTCGGGTTTGAGATGCGTTTCGTTTAGGAGAATGATGTCCAGGTTATGTGTATTAATGTAATCTTTTTTAATTGTAGCGTTTTGTCTTTAATGCCATTGCTATTGAAGGATAAAAAATTTAGCATAGTTGATATGCGGTCTATTTCTTTGGTTGATTTGTTGTCTGTGATTATACATAATTTTTTGTGTGAAAAATCTTTACTGCTTCTAAGGCGATCTTTAATTTGTTGACTTGAGTATTTTTAAATTTAAGGTAGAGGTCATGTATTTGCTCGATGAATTCGACAAAATCATCAAAATCCTCGTCTTTATCTTGATTATATTCTTTTGATTGCGGTTTTTTATATTGAGTGGGTTCTTTTGTGGCGGTTTCCTCTTTTTGATGGGTCAGTTCTTTGGGTTGCGGCTGTTTGTTGCCATTATTTTTGGTTGATGCTGTGACTGCAGCGTAGGATAGAATGGTATTGCTTGATTGGCTGGGAGTATTGCGACTTGCAGTGCTCCGGGAGTTTGTAATACTTTTTTCGTTTTCTATGGGTTTTTTGATATTTTCGGTTGCGTTGCCTGGTCTTTCGGGGCATTCAGTGCTACATGCTGGGTGTGAGGCCCTTTGCATAATTACATTGTGCTGGTGGTATTTCTTTTTAAGACGAGCTGGGCAGTCAAAGGATTTGTGGCTTTCCAGGCATCTGACACAACGAGGTTGTTGTGGCAGGCTTTTGTGTATGCCCGTACCGCTGACAATTAAAACATTGTGTTGGGCCGGGTTTTCGATTTGTAGCTAATTGCTCTTGTTTTCATGTCAAGAATATGCGTGATTTCTATAGATTGTGTTTCCTTCTTCCGTTCGTGGCGTTTCCACGTAGAAGACAGGAAGAAAGAGATGGTATGCCATCGCGCATGCGTGTAAGTTGTCTACATTTGAGTACAGGGATTCCCTGTGAAATAAGGTTTTCCTTGATTTCGTCAGGTGTAAAATATGTTTCTAATCCTTTTAGGATAACTCTAGTTGTTTTATCGGAATTTAGTAAGTATGTGTGATAAGGATTTTTCCTTGTCGAATATTTTGGAGTTTTTGTTCTTCTCGGTGAGACTTTTTTTGAGATGTCTCTTTTACTCTCGATCTTGATGATATTAGGATTTCTTTTTTCTTTCTAGATCTTTCCATTTATCCTCTGGTTAAAAACGAAGGTCTATTTGCGCAAGGTACGTAGTATTAGCGCTGATATTTTGTGTTTTAATTATCTTATTTTAGTTATGTGTTTGTCTAAGTAATCTGAAAAGATGAAAATACTCATAATCGGGAATTCTATGATTAAGATTAAGATTAAATATTTACAAGAATATTTGTCTGCGAATTTACCTGATTACGAAGTTGATTTTCGTTGCTTTCCAGGAGCTAGGATTGAAAGGTTGACACGTGAGATTGCCTTTATGAACAACCATTTTCATTTAGTTTTTGGTCCACGTTGGTACCAATAATTCAAATGACGATTTAGATGAAATTCATCGTAAATATGGTTGTCTATATAAGGGAATTGAACGATTAAACCCGAAGGTCATTCTGTTTTCAGGTGTTCTCCCCACGATGCCCGGATTTATATCGAGATTGTAACACGTATCACCTACAAGAACTTAATAGGAAGATACTAAACATAAATTCAAGATTTCTCGCAACATACGAAGGTAAAGATGGGTTTTTCTTTTGCAGCTCTTTTGACTATTCTTGGAGTACTTGTTTATCCAGAGACGGTTTACACCTAAATCGGAGAGGTAATCAGCAGCTGGGGAAAATTTTTGTAAAAGATATCAGGATAAGTTTGACTGTTGCAGAGGTAAGTGCACCATTTTGTTCTACATCCCTTAGCAGTTTCCCAGCATTAACCAGTATTCCTTCT